GCTTTAACTCTTATTTTTAAATTTTAATAAAAAAGTTGTAGAATAATTATTATTTTTCAATTTCTATATAAAAATTGAGTTATAACAATTATTTGCAATTTTTAAAATAATAATTGAAAATTAAAATTATTCTCCAAATTTTTATTTTAAAAATTGAAAATAACAGTTACGTGTCAATTTTTATTTTAAAAATTGAAAATAAAAATTGAATCGCAATAACTTTCCAACGGAGCGGTATATCTTAAAGATTTATATATGTAATTAATCTACGCTTCAATACCTTTCGTTTGATGTATATATTGTGGTTATTGCTTATGCATAAAAATATGCGTATACGTACTGCTTATTACATTCCCCAAACAAACAAGGATACTAAAATACCTTTTACAAATGGAAAGTCAAAAATGCAGATAACAAAAATATATATAATAAATTGTCACCTTTATATTTAAATATTATTACCTGTAGCTGGGTAATTATCTCAGTATTCATGTTTGTTTGTGAAACGGTGAATTTTTTATTATATGCACTTATGTTCATGTACATATTTGTGTACATGCAATAACCACAATATATACATCAAACGAAAGGTATTGAAGCGTAGAATCATTATATATGCCAATCTTTAAGATATACCGCTCCGTTGGAAAGTTATTGCGATTCAATTTTTATTTTCAATTTTTAAAATAAAAATTGACACGTAACTGTTATTTTCAATTTTTAAAATAAAAATTGGAGAATAATTTTAATTTTCAATTATTATTTTAAAAATTGAAAATAATTGTTATAACTCAACTTTTATATACAAATTGAAAAATAATAATTATTCTACAACTTTTTTATAAAACTTGAATAATAAGAATTAATTTCCTATTTTTTCTATATAATTGTAAAATAACTCTTATTTCATAATTTTTATTATAAAAATTATAACTGTTACGATCCCTGATTATAACCTATTCAAAAGTATGTTTCTTTAGTGTTTTGGCCACTTTAACTTATTTTATTTTATTCTAACCGATCAGTTTTATCCACTGTGGCATCCGCTGAGCAGCTTGCAGCTTGTTGGCCAACTCAGTTCCAAACGCAGGCCTACCTACACAGTCTAGGAATACTCGCTCCTCCTCCCGTTCTGTGCCAGCCAGGTAACTAATATCTGTTGCAATTGCCAATGCCAATTTTCCTGTTTAATATGCCACGAATTGACATGGGCCGTTGCCATTAAGCATTTGATATGAGCAGGCCCAGAACCGAAGGCAAAACCTGGCAAGACCAGCACACCAGGACCCGGCCATGTATGGAGTTGGGAGCTGGACATGTGATGACATTGCATGGGCCACATGCAGATGCTGTTACAGCCGCTGCGCCAGTGGCAGTGGCATCCGTATCCGTGCCTAATTTAATCAAATTAGCTGAGAATGCAATGGAATGAAATTGTTCGGTCAGAGGCAGAAACTCATTACGTTAATCAGTTGATTGTGCGGATCTAAAGCAAATTATGACAAAGTTCCAATTTGCAGCGTGCATATGGTTGGGCATATGGCAATTTCTATAATTAATTCGCTGACCATCTCCCTCGCCCCTTCCTGCGTCCCTTTCCAGTGTGTTGGCAAATGCAATTTGTGCAGTTTAATTTCATTAGAATAATTCTAATTAGAGCAATGAGTTGTAGGTGCTATCACAGCCGAGCAATCGTTTGACTAAGCGCCAGCTCTGCCACCCGGGATGCAGCAGTGTGTGTCCGTGTGATAACGGAAATTTAATTGAAATTGTGGCAGCTTTTGTGAAATTATTGGAACGTCCAATGCACATTGAAAAAAATGAATGTGATTGATGAAGGTTATTCTGGGTTTTTTCTTTTTTGGATTTACTATAAGGTATAGATCTTTACAGTTATTATAAAGTCTTAAAAGTTTTGTATTTAAATTAATCAAAGTCTAAAATGGTTTTGGGTTATAATTAACTAGATTCTTTAGTCAATCATATTTTCCTTCTCGATATATCCTATCCTTTAGATATGTTTAATATTTAACACAATTTCAGTCAAACTTCAGCTTAATTCAAAATTTATTTAATATATTTTCTCTGTGTGCATCAGGGAGCAGCCAACCAACGCGAGTACCAATTACATTTGCCAGAGGAGACTTGAACCCAAACTCTAAGCCCAAGCCCAAAACCCCAACGAACACCCATTGATGAGCCGGGGCCCAATGATAAATACGGCTAATGGAAGTTGCCCTTACAGATTATAATGTTTGTTTGTTGGCCATCTAAATTGAATTGCAATCGAAGCTCGCTCCTCTCGGATCGGTATTAAAATTCATTTAAATGGACTCGAATGGCCAAAGCCATAACCGGGCCTATCGCAGCTAATCATCTAAAGAAGTGTGTTGTGTGTTTGGGTCTGTGTCGCCATTGTTGGGTGCACATTTCCAATCAGATAAACACGCAGCCGAAACGCACGAACTAAACCTGAAACAGAAACGGAATTACGGAACCCACACCGAGAGGGGGAGGAGGAGAAGGAGGCGGAGCTCGAGACCGGGACAATGAGGAAATGGACATGGCCCCGAAGGGCAGCAGGAGGAGCCAGAGGAGGGGAGGAGCACGCATTGTCCCTATCCTCCAATCCTCCTCTCTGCCACTAATTAGTTAATGCATGACCAAATATTTGCTGTTGCCTTGGTCAGAACAGGAGGGAACCTTTGGATAAGAGAGTTCTAAAGGTAGCCAGCACTCAGGCAAATTCGATTTCTATTGAACTGTTTAATCATTGATTTGCTGCGTTTAATAGGACCAAATTGATTGGATTAAAATGAGCTTGCTGAGTTGATAGTAAAGAGAGTAGTTTTATAGTAAAGGAATATCTCTTATACTAAAATTTGGATTTTAAAAGATTACCTAAATATATTTAGATAATGTATCAGTAATTTAGATATTTCTTCCATAAACTAACCCAAATAGAAACCAGCTCATTGGCGCATTGGATTTTGAAACATAAGTAAGCTGTCCCAGCAGCAAATCGAATCATAAATTCCATATCTTGTTGCCAACTAATTAGTTAATGCGTGGTGGGACCAGCTGGGACAAGGGTTCTCCTAATAGGCCAACTCCACCCCATGTGCCCTATCCCTAAACGAAACCATTGATTTATGCTTCATATTTAGTGCGGTTTATTTATGTCGTTTGTTGCATGTCCTCCAACTGGTTTCAGGTGGCGTGCCCCCCATTATCATCCCAAATCCCCTGCCCTCCATCCGAATTCAAATCGGAATCCGATGCTTGATGCCGCCTGTGTGTGTACCGGTGTGTGAATTGTTTCCCATTGGCTGAACATATGCGCAGTGCCACGCTTATCTGCGATGCTGATTAACTGATTTAGATGGCTGGTCATTGCCTATGCATTGATCACCGTATTTTTTGTTTGTCTGATGGACTGGGCCTGAAATCGGTATTGGAATTAGAATAACCGAATCCAGTTACTATTACAATTGACCCGTGACACATGCGACACTTTAGTGTCTGGTTTCGGTGTAATTTCCGAGCCTCAAATGACTTATTTTAGTTTAATTATATAGTAATTATATAGCAATTAGCTTTACCTTTTTGCCGGCCTCTGTTTTTATTTTTATTTTACTTTTTTTTTTTGGTTACCTTTGTCGTAATGGTAGAGGACAGTGCTTAGCACGTAATGCCCATGTGATGCTGACGAATCAAGTGCATATATGCCATGGAGATACAGTGCGGTACTTACAGTTAAAGTCCTGCAATTAGGTTTGTATATATGGATATATTATTAAATGTGTAATTTTCATTGTTGGTTTAGTGTTTTCTTGACTAAAATACTGCTGAAAAACATTTAATAATATTTAAAATTATTAACCATAAGTTAAAACATTAAAACATAATGAGATAGATTTTATTAGCTAAAGAAAAAAGAATTTAATACTCAATAATAAATAAATAAAAATATTCTTTAAAATGTGTAAACATTAATTTAATGCATTCAATTGCAAATAGCAATTATGGATCTCCATAAATTACTATAGCTATACCTATTCCCATCTATAATCAAGTCTTAAGAACATATATTGTTAACACGCACTGTCCCGCGATATATAGACGCCAATAACTGAACAAATCGGACCTGCTTGACTGCCCGGCTTGCACTGACGTGCAGTTAATTGCTGTCCCAATTATTGCATTGCCCAGAGATATACCCAACCGATAAATTCGTATTTATTTTATTGTTTGTAATTGGGAAAATTGATAACGAAAGAGCCCAATCTCAGGGTCTCCCGGCAAGGTGCAGCGGAAACGGATGCGCGGCGGATGACAAAAGCCTAATGGGGTCATCATTGCAGTTTGCTCGGCGACTGGATGCCAAAAATTAATGGCCGGCTAACACGCGTTCGTTTGGGAGTTTTCCTGGCCAGAATTATGGCGTGGTCATTGCTGGAAAACAAAAGACTTAGGCAGCGAACTGTGTTCTGGCGGCAACTCACCGAAAAAAGAACACCAAACACTCTAACAACAACAACGACGGTATGAACATGCCATTTCACGCCTCCAAACAACTCATAATTCATGCGTTCAATGGCCAGCAACAAATGCTGCATAACAAATGACCAACATAGGCACCGAGAATCGGAATATTGAGGGAAACCAAGGCACGTTTCTTGTGTAGCGAAGACGCATCGAAATTTAAAGAGCAATTCATAAGCATAAATGGCCATTATAGAGACATCATTGCGCTGGCCGGGCCCATGGCTGCTTATTGGATTTATTACCAAACCAATTTCGGTTTTCTGTCCACTCATCTGGCAGCAATTAATCATCGCAGAAGCCTTCAGTTACCGTTCCTCAATTAGAATCGTTTTTTGTGTTTTTTTTTTTCTGTATTTTTATGTATATTTTTTTCTTCATAAATTATTTTTATTTATTTTGTGATTTTTTTTTTTATGGATTTTTCTGGTGATTGCCATTAAATTTAATACAATTTTCCATTTTTTGTTTTCTTGTTTGCTTTGATTTTAAATAAACATTACATTTGCTTTGATTTATATATATTCAACTATCAATATGGCCAAATTACAATACATTTATCGTTTACACTTAGCACATAATACATCATATTTATATATATATATATATAGATTTATCCGTATCGTATTCTGTTTATACCTCAGACATAAATTAGGTTAGGACTAAACTGGCTTTATACACACAACTTAGGGGGTTACGGTTTAATGTTTAGTTTGAATTTTCTTTTTTTGCGCTTTTTCTCTACTTTTGTTATCACTTAAATTATACAAAAATTGCTAACAAATGTATTTTACAAATTGCCTTTAACATTTAATTTAATTAAATTTAATATATTACGTTTAGATCTTAGATATTTAAGTGTGTAGGTGTGTATGTATATTTTTAAGACTTAGGTATTAACATTGAACATTTAAGTTTGTGTGTGTGTGTTTTTAGTTTAAAAAGTTGACGGCGGCCTTTGCATTTAATCATAAACATTTCCGTGTTATTCTTATTAAATTTATTTTACAACTGCCAGTGGCGCGCCTTAGTGAAATAGTACAAGTTTTAATTTATATTTATATATATAGATTTTACTTTTTGTTTATCACGTCTGTTTTGTTTAGAGTCTAAGAATTTAACTAGTTTACAGTAGGCATACGCTCTAAAGTGTCTGTGCAATTTTTAATTGCGTTTTGCGAATTAGGACAAACATCTCAAGCAACTTCTCTTACACCTAGAATTTCCGTTTTATATTTATTTTTACAAAAAATGTTTACTTTTGGACGTGCATTGTAACTGTTTCTTTTTTGTTTTTCGTTTATAGTATATAATAATTTTAGTTCTCTGTGTGCTTGCTTCTGGCTTTCGTTTATATGTACACAATAAATATTTATGAAATTTCCTCCCGTTCTGTTTTTTTTTTATGGCAGTTCATATAAAGCACGCTTAAATACGCTGAATTTGCGGCGAGAAATTAAATTAATTAAGCGAAATATGAAACACAAGGAAAAAGAAGAGAGAACTATACAAACACTCACAGAAAAGCCATAAAGGAAAAATAAAATAAAAATAATGTGCAGCCCTTTAATTAGTTTTAATGGGGCTTTTGTTATTGCTGCTATATATACGCTCTCCGCTCGCAGCAGCAGCAGCAACAGCAACAGCAACAGCAACAGCAGCGACAAAGCTTAAATAATTAAAAATTGCACGCAATGTTTACAATTAGGAATAGCCAGCTCTCGTCCAGCTGGCACACACCACCCCCGCACACCATCTACACACACAAACACAGAGCACACCGCACGGGAAGTGTGTGTGTGTGGATGTCAAGGGCTCGGTGTGCCACTGTCAATCGCTGGCCAAGGAGTCCTCAGTTTGGCATTGTGTTTTGTCTGGTTTCGGTTGGATTTGCTTTGCCTCGATTTATATACTGCTCGAATCGATCGATTCGAATGTGGGCGAATCGCGGCTTTAGCTGAACAGATTGTTGTTCAAGTTGTTCCCGCTCCATCACGTGTAGTCAGTGCGCCAGGTGCCCTGCGGAAGGAAAGAGGAGAAAGGACCAGGTGAAACGTTAGTAAGGAATTTGAATATTTTGTGGCACTTAAAGCTATCACAGAGAAAACATAAAAGTTACTTTAAAGTTTTATAATAAATGGATTTAAGATGAACTAATTCCCTTAACATTTTCATGTTTTCAAAGTTTTGTAAAATATTATATTAAATCAATATATTTTTTGTACAGTAAACAATGGAAAAATACCTAATTCCCTCATAAATTCCCCTTTATTTTTCTCTGTGCACTAAAAGCTTTTCCTAGAAAAGCTGCCTAATAGCTGCTCCTGTCTAGAAAGTTCTCAGTTACTCACCATTGAACTGAGGCCCAAGTGGTAAGGCTGCGAGTGCGGCACCACTGCTCCACCAAGAGAGCCGGCGGTGGAGAAGCCGCCCTGCAGGCCGCTGGAGGCACCCAGAGCTCCCATGCCGCCGGTGTACCAGCTGCCGTGCATGTGCGCATGTGCCGGATGCAGTCCGCTCGAGAGGTGTCCATGTTGCGCTAAAAAGAGAGAGAGCAGAAATGCGAAAAGGGAGAGCGTTAGTTGGAGTGACGGGCATTTAATTGGCGCTGGGGGAGATTGGAGCAGAAGCTGTCCATAGGCTTGGGGAGATGCAGATGAAGATGCTTACCCATGGAGGCCGAGAAGCCGCCGCCGAAGCCTTTGGAGGGGTCCAGTGGCTTAAAGTCGCCCATGCCCAGGTGTCCACCGATGGGCAGACAGCCGCCACCCAAGCCCTTCTTCTTCTTGGACTTGGAGCTCAACTTGCGGTTACGCGTTTGAATGCCCTCCTTTTTCATTGTGAGCGGACGATTGACCTGAAAAAGTTAAGAAAGAAAAAATTATTAGAAAGGTGACTATGTAAAGAATCTAAAATTATTTAAAAAACTCCAGGGAACTAGTGCCAAATTGTTTAAAAATAAATTACAAACTGACCAAAGTTTTCTTAATTTTTCTCAAAGTGTAGGGGAAAATCAATAAACTTAAAGCGGCCGAAAAGAGGGCTAAAAACGTCAGTGTCTGACCACTAAAATGGGTCAAATTTATGCAAATTCATGGACCGGAAATGCCGCTAGCTGCACACGCTGTCTGTGTGAGACAGGGGTGGTATATATACTATATATACATCATGTGTGTGTGTGTGTGAGTGCAACCGGGAAGTGAAAATGAAGTATTACAAGCATTTCTACACGATCAGATAAGCGACATTTGCGAATGCGATTAGTTGGCGCTGATAGCGCTCTCCCAACGTTTTTTTTTTTTCTTTCATGTATTTTGAAGCGTTTGTTGCTGCGCTGCTGCTGCTGCTGTGCTGCTGCATGTTGCTGCTGCCGCTGTTCCCTGGGCCATTGTTGCCGCGACGGGACTCTCTTCATATGCAATTCCCTATCACTTGCGAACATCTAAGCGGCAGCATGCGCTTCATTGCGCTACAATTACAATATTGGGTTACCCATTCCCAGCAGCGACATTAGCAACAAAAGCAGGAGAAGAAAAAGGGTCTCTTTGGGTAGCCAGAAATGTTACATTAAAGTACAAAGCGAATGAGAGGACTTTGGGCTACCTGGGCGTGAATTACGACATTGTTTGGTGCGCCTTTGCAAACACAGAAATTGTTAAATTGCCGGCAATCCAGCGCCCAGGCACTTTGAAGAGCCGAATAGCCGGAGAAGAGATTTTTGTCGTGAGGGTTGCTTTTCCAAAACATATCACTTACACTGCACACAAAAAAGAAACCCCTCGTCCAGATCACTTAGCCGGGGAGGATCTCTCCCGGGAAGCCCACGTAATTGATATTCTCTGTAGCGTTTAGCACAAATTGCGGCAATTAGCAACTCAGCGGCAGCGGCAGTGGCAGCTGCGGATTGTGGATCTTGAGCTTTAATTGATATGCAGCAACAAAGCATAAAGTTGTTAATGCCCAGGCCCAGCTCATTAGGGAATTCAGAGGAAAACCCCCAAAGGGGAGCAGCATCTTTAAGATAGCACTTTTTATGCATAAAATCTAAATCGAGCGTGGAGCGAACACGCGCCGATGCAGCTGACTGGCAACTTGACAGCCGCCCCCGGGGAAGGAAAATCGGGGAAAATAAACAGGCAGTGCAACAGGCCACCCACAGATATATGGATATGGATATAGTTTAGATCTGGTGGCTAAAGAAAGAGCAAGCAAGACAATCCAGGCGACAGGAAGACGGCGCCTGAGACCGTTAGGTCACTTTTATGGTTTTTATTATACTTTTTTTCATGCCGTTGTCATTGTCATTGTCACGCCGCAGGACATTCTTTTCTAGGATAACGCACAGCAGGTTGCAGGCTGAGAGAGGATCAAGAATTGTCTCATTTGCTGTTAATTAACATGCTGATTCTCCCAGAGATATTCGATTTCAAGGAAATCCCGAGCAGACACGCGCAGATGCCAGCAGATATCGGATCGGAGATCTAGCAAGTGCATATCAAGAAATGAGGAAAACACCGATAGAAGGCAATTGTGTTTCGTAGATGACAGTGGTGATTAATTTTTAAGAAAAATAAATACCATTAAACCTAAGGGAAATTAAATATCTTTAATAAAAGGAGTCAAAGTATCCTATCAATACAATTAATCCCAAAGATAAATGTCCTTTTAAAGTCTCGTCTCTATCTATCTTTTAGGCCAACTCATCTATATTTGTATATCAAAATATATAAATTAAAATTGTTACATCTGTAAGCTTTAGCCAGTATCCACTGTGCTGCAGCAAGTGCTTGCTACATTTCCATAAAATGTGCCAATCACTTCGCTTAGAGGCCCACACAGGCGGCAGATCCAAATGACAAACGAATTGAATTGAAATGAACTGCAAGCCAAAACCAAATACGTACAAAGCCAAGGAGAAAGGGGTAAGGAAAGAGATAGAGAGAGAGCAAAAGAAAGAGATAGAGAAAGAGCACTATACCGGGCCCAGACAGAGATGGCAATGGAAAAAAATGCGCGCTGATTGGCATCTTATCGAGATGGGCCACTGTCCAATTGAAGGAAAATTTTTGCAAAAATAAATTTCGCCTGTGCGGTGGCCAGCCACCCAGAGTGCATTTTCTCGTGTGTCGGAAAAGTTTTTACTTTGTGCAAATCAGATTAGAGAAAATAGAGCAACTTGTGTGTGTATGCCCGAGTGTGTGTGTTGTGCCTTTGATATTTGCCTTTTATGGACGGGCTCAATTAAAAATATTTCGCCTTTTGCCGATTGCGATAGCCATCGAAATGCAGCAAGTGGCGGCCGCAACTTAATTAGTTTGCCACAGTGCACAGTGGGGCCAGCCAGACAGGTGGCCCATCACTTAAGGGCCACTGACATGTAAATGTGCCAAAAGTTCAGCCGCAAAACTCATTAAAACTTGACTGCAGGCCATGGCACAAAATAAAACACACAGACAAAAAACAAACCCCAAGGAAGGAAGACAAAAAAACACAAACACAAAAAAAGGAAGTTGGAGGAAAAAACTTCAAGATTATCCTGTGAAAAGCGTGGCTAATGAATATTTAATAAGAGATTTTGTAAGGGTCCGCTCTACATATAACATTATTCAATTCAATGCAGTTTTGCCGGGTAGTCGATTACATAAATTAACTCAACGACGGGAAAAAGGGGAGATCCAGCCAGCATCCTGCCACGCGTTGCCCATAACTGGAAATCAGGGAAAGCTTATCGCATTTTCACAGCCAAGCACCAAACACCAAACATCCAGACGCTTATCGCAGCGATGGTAAATGGTGGGTGGTGGCTGGCTAACTGGCATCTTTAAATAATCATCGGGCATTCATCATCACGAGGGTAACCTGCTGCGGCAACAAATGGAGAAGCTAAACGGCAGTCAACCACCCGGGGTCACCCCCGGAAAAGCGGAAAATGGAAACGGGGGGCGGCTTCAGCAGACACTTCATTTTTGTCACATTTAATCCGAGAGAGAGCGTGCCGCGCTTCCTGTCCGACACTCCGGCAGAAAAAGTGTACGTTTCTAATGTTAAATGTGGTGTTAAATCGCAGGAATCGAAAATCGATATACTTGGGAGTTTTCTCTAATAGTTCCGTTGACCAATGGTCCTGAACTACACTTAGGAAAAAGGATATACATAGATCTAAGGAGATGAAAATGGTTTGTAGAAAAATTCGATTCATCTAGCTCCTTGAACTTTATAAATTTCATTTTTCCTTTCTTGACTTTAATTCTTGCTTTATTTTGATTTATATTTTCCCAACTGTATTAAATATATTTGATATACTTACATTGTGCAGCTTGTAGTACAATCCGCAGGCATTGCAGACGGGTTCGCCGCTGGCATTGCGTCGCCAAAGGGTTGTGGTTGTGGTCTTGCAGTTGGCGCAGGATGTGCCCGCCCTCTTGGCCGCACTTTGTAGCGATTGGAGGGTCTGAAAATAAAAGGGGGAAAAATTAATAGAAAAAGGGTTAGATTATGGTTATTAGAAGCGTGTCTTATAAACCTCAAATTGATTATGCTAATCCACTTCGATTGGCTAATTGAACAGCGCCAAAACTAACGCAACAGAGTCCGCCTTGAAAGCCAAGAATTTCTTGGCCTTATTTTCCCCTTACCTCTAGGCACAAACCTCCTCCAAAACAAAGTTGCTTAACACACCGGGCAACAACATTTTTTAAATGGCATACCAAAAAAAAAAAAAAAAGAAAATAATAAAAAAAAAAGGAAAACAAACCCCGGAGCTGAGGAGATGTAGAGACTCAGGCTGTGCCTGCCTTGCGTTCGACTTGGGTTAACAGCAGCATCAATTCATTAAAATGACAATTTTTACAAAACTGCCCAAAAACAACAGCGGCAGCAACAGCAACAACAACAGCAACAAGCGGGGATCATGTCTGTGCCACGCTTAAATTTCCACGAATTGGCTACAAGAACCAAGAATCGAGCAACGGGCATGGAGACCCCAGAATCGAGCTACGGAGAACGGAGAACCAAGGAATCGAGATTGGAGAATCGGGCATCGAGAGCCCAAAAACCCAGAGAAGCTGTATCCCCACCCCTGCCTTGGGATCCATGTCTGCAGTACAGACTTTGTCTGCGTTTTGGTCTTCGTTATGGCATGCTCCCCTCCATGGGTGCCCCCTCGATAAGCACTGAAAGAAATTACATTTACTTTAGGAATTTAAAATATAGCTTTGCTCCAATTTAAATCAAACTATTTCTTGCAGTGCAGCCTTCCAGTTTGGCTTGTTCATGCTGCTGGTACAACACATGGCTACGAGGCCTTAAACTGGCGTTGATCATGTTTGACTTTGATTTTTAATTGTTGCCTCTGCCACAAGGGAATCGCCTTCGTCTTTCAGTTGGACTTGGAGTTCGATCTGCTCCGATCCGATCTCGATTCCGATCTCTCTCGTACAGCTCTGCTCTGCACTGTGTGTCTCACCTGTTCCCGATTTGGCGATTAACATAAATCAGAGGTCATATGGCAAGGGAGTTGGAACTGTAGCTAAAGCTGTAGCTGTAGCTGGAGCTTTCGGCCAGTGTCTGCATTTTTTTTGGTGGCACTGTCTTGTGTTAACGAGCTTGTAACAATTTCTGCAGACAGCGACCAAATGCGAAAAGTGAGAAATTCAAAATTAATTTCAACGCCTACGAGACGGTCGAAGGGGGAACGCGGAGAGATGCGATTGGGGTGGAGATAAACTGGAAGTTTTGTGGTAATTATGCTGCATTCGTTTTGCCTTGGCCAAAATGCTTAAGCGTAAATAAATTAAGTTGTTAACATGACAATGCAACAAAACAGTCCAGCGAGAGAGATTCGAAACAGGATCAGGATTTCGCAATCGACATTCCATTCCCAGTCAATCCAGTGGGTGTTGGTTAACTTCTGTGTGCCAATAGTGACAATTGAGGATCAGAGAAGCCACTCGATAAACAGTGAAACGATATTAAATCGAAGCTTTCGATTACTTCAATATTCCCTAAGAAAACCCATATTTCTTGTGCTTCAATACAAAATTAAAGCAATATTTCTGTCGATACATCATATCGGTTTTCTCCGCTCCAACTGTCACTTCGATTCTACTAACTGACATAACATAAAGTACAGTAAATACAACAATCACGGGCCCAGCAATCAAACAGCAAATCACATAAATCAATGTCAGTGCGATGCATGCAAAGAGCAAGCGAGAGGCCAAGCGGATAGAGCGAGAGATGGCATAATTGCGGGGGTGATGGGAAAATTGACAAACTGTCAGACATTGACAGGCGTTTGGGGTTTAATTGAAATGCAAAAAGCGCAAGCGCCAAAACAACAGCAGCAACAACAACAGCAGCAGCAGTAAACACACAAAACAAGATGGCGCTTGCGATTAATAAACAAAAGCAAAAGGCACATAAGAAACACTAAAAAATCATGCAAACAGAAGCGGTTAACATAATAGCCATTAAATTTTTAGTTTAAAGGTTTTCTAATTTTAAAAAATATTGTAAATATCACCAATTACAAGTCATTAAACTCTTTACAAAAGTTGGAGAAAGAATATATTCCCAAGTAGTATTTATAGGTAATTTTAGTTAGTTATAAATTAAAACAAAATAATATTTGATTTGAAAATGATTATTGTTTTTGTGTATTTACCCAAAATGAGTTCATTAACTATGCTTAAATAAGTCAAATAAAAACACAATGGAGCACAAATTAAAAGAGTATAACTTATTTTTAGTTGCTACTATTTTGACCTCAATCGTTTTTCTTTATAGTTTTCAGTGTTTTGTGACCGTAAATTGTGATTTATCAATGCATGACAAAATGCGTTTGCATTGTTGTTTGCGCTTTGCATTTGCCGTCTCTTTTGCTGCTTGCATACCTCTCTCTTTCATTCCTTTTGTGTGGCCAACACATTTGACACCTTTTGCTGCGCTTTACTTGATTTATTTATATTTTTTGAAAAAAAAAAAAACCAAAGAAAAAAGCTCACAAAATGGTCGACCCATCTTCGTTTTACTTTTCTTATCTTTGGGATTTTCCTTTATTTTTTCTGCTTCTCATATTTCTGTTTAGCTTTTGTTGTGTTATGCAAATTTCGTTTTCATTTCACACACAAACAGACACACACAGGCATTTAAATATTTAATTGTAAGTGAAACACAGAGAAAAACATTTTGCAAAGGCTGAGTAAATATGTACCAAGTAAATAGATTTTCCCCCATCTACACTGCTATTTATTGCGCAGCTTTTGTGCGCTCAGTGGCAATGCCCTTTGCCATCTAAGATACGTCAAGATGCTGGGGGGGAATTGAGGGGGGAAAATGGGTGGAAAATGGACGGCTATGGGGGCCTGCTCAGCGGATCCAGTGTTCGCAGCCGTATCTCAGTGTAACATCTTTCACTTGGGGCGTCTCTTTCGCTCTGCAGAGGACATTTTATCAACTGGATTTTTTTTTGTATCTTTTCCTCTGCCTCTCCCTGCATCTGTATCTCTATCTGTATCTGTAGCTATGTGTGCGAGTGTGTCTGTGTGTGTTATCTAACAAAACATTCATTAAATTTTTCCCTGCTTCTTCTACCCTTAACTTGGCTCACAGCGCATGGCCGCCCCCTCATTTTGGGGGTTGTTTTGGAGCCACCCACTGGCCCACCTCCTTCAGTGTATATATATATGAATGTATATAAAGTGTATCAAGGGAAGATGGCTAAAGATAGCGGGCAGAAAATTTCTATATCTGATGCTGTGTGCCAAAAAGGGGGGAAAATGGGGTTTGTTGAGCTTGTGTCTGGCACATAACAGTTACATTTCGAAGAGCCCGGTGAATGTACGTAAACGTATATCTCTACGGGAAATGTAATTTAAAAATTCAAATTTTATTTCCTTTTTCCTCTCGAAATTCTCCTTTTAGTTTTCTTCGTCATCCTTTTTTATTTTCCTGCAGCTGTTAAGGGGGATGGGGCGTGACTCAGTTTGGTTTGTGGGCCTCTTCGGCTTTCCCTGCAGCTAATTTGACTAATTAAAACATCAGCTTAACTCATTTCCATGCTCAAGCTGCGACCTGGCACGAAACTGTTGCTAAAAATCACACCTGCCCCTGAAGAGTGCTGTTGGTTATAAAAAATCAATAAAATGTTATATGGCCAGCAAACAGAACAAGCCATTAATGTCGCTCATTAATGCTGCTCAATGAATTTTACGAGCCGTCCGGCCCGGGAATACAGCGGAGGGTTAAAGCCGCTGAAGGCTCTTTGGGTTGAAATTGTCGCTTGAAAATGCTAAAATGTCATTGGGCCTTTGTTGTGCATTTTAAGCAGAATAGTGGCTACTAGAGCTTGACCCTAAATGAGAGAGAAATTTTGGTGGGAATTTCAGGTGGGCAGCTTTAAAGGGAAAATAATAATATTCATGTTAAATATTTGAATTAAATATAAACAGATATTCTACCTTTAAAATAAAGAAATGTAATATAGTTTCTCATTTTAAAACCTAATGACTAGTCCCTAAATCAAACCAATTTCTGCAAGTGCACTGACTTGCATTTAAAGCAAACTATAGTTGCAATAGACAGACAACTCCCCCTAGACCCTATATCCCATATCCTAGGAGGCATGAAAATCGTCATTAATATTTGTCACTGGCCAGTGGCCATTGAATGGGGCCAGCGAAAAGCTAAATAAATTATGGAACTGGCCACGAGGCAAGGTGGAGCTGGACTTGGCCAAAATGAATGTGCGCTAAACACGCTCATGAATGCGTGTTCGTTGTCTGTAAACGGAAAAAGGGTTAGAAAATGCACAAGCAACCCCTTTTCTGGCGGGGGTGCTACAAAGTAAGTGTGTAACCTGTGCAAAATTATGCATTTGCATATTAAACAGTCACCATAAATTTCGTTTTAGCCACAAAAAAAGCGAAAGCAGCTCAGAAAACTGCTGAATTCCCGCTTAACAAGCTTCCAAAAAAATATATATACAAAATACAAAATATAAAAGCTAACTTGATATAAAAACACAAAAAAAAAAAGACAAAAAGTTGCCAAGACAAAGGCTGGCTTGGCCTTAATCATCTGGCGGCGGGGCAACCCTTTGGCTGGGGCAACGTTTGAGCCTTCGTTTGAGCCCTCTTTCATTATTATTATTGGCACGCCCCGTTTTTGCTGCGTTGCGTTGCGTTGCGCTTCGTATCGTTAATTTTTAATTGATCTGCGTTGCAGCATTCTTCGCTCTCCTCCTTATTTCGCATCGATCAGGCTCGTCAGCAGCAGCAGAGGCAGCCTTTGTGCCTCAAGTGCATTTTAATAACATTAGGCCCCCACTTAACAAGATCCTAGCGCCCCAAATACAAAATAACCGAAAAAACAAGCTTAATGCCCGCGATTGCGTATACGCCCCGTTCGACGGGGGCCCACAAAAGGAGTAACGTGCATTGAACCTTTTACTCTTTTCTCCTTTTTTCTCCATTTTATTGGTGATTTGTTGTTGTTGTTCCTTGTTCGATCTGCGATCTGCTTTAGTTTTGATTTGGCTGGCTGGCTGTCGTTCGTTTATCGATCGCCTGCCCTTGTGCATTTAATTTTTAGCGTCACAGCCTACAATCGGTTCGATTTTCCCACGGGGAACCCGAGGAGGAGATGCCACAGCTGGCCCAAAAAATCAAAAATGTGTTAATTAGTTTTTCCTCTCTCCTCGCCTCTCTTAACCATTCGTTGCTGCTGCTGCTTTGGCTCTCTCTTTCGCTGGCCCGCTGCGATCGTTTAAGCCTGGTTTATGGCTGTTGAGTTGTTAGCGTTGAAATACGCCCGCGGATTAATAATTAATTAAGCCTCGGTCTCCGAATGCATTTATAAGCGATTGTGTCAAGTGTTGATGGGTTTATTGTTAGGCGGCAGTTTAACTATTTAACTATTTCCAAATGGCAATAGCAATCGCGAGCTTTTCTTGGTAACACACAATGCCGCATGCAAATGTGACATAAGCCAATGTAATAAGCGTAAGAATAAATAATTTTTAAATTTGTTTTTGCTGCTTTGCTGGCTGTTGTTTTTTTTTTTTTTTTTTAACCATGACGTGGCCGTCGTTTTGTTCAATTTACTGTGTGAAAATTCGCATAAATTAAGCTGGCAGCAACTGAGGCATAAATATTATGCAAAATGCAAGCGCCGAGTCTCGCCTCCTTTCCCCTTGGCCCCACCTCACCTGCCCTCACTTGCTGATTATATAAGTCACGATCGGTGAGATGAGCAGCTGCCTGTTGACTGCGATTGACCCCACCAGCAAGAGTTGTGTGTTCTTTGCGGATTTACGGCATTAAACATGGATTGGCAATTAGCTATAGACATTAAAAGTATCTATGGACAGAGCGTTTTGAATGTGTTGTATTAGTGAATATTTAAAGACAGTTAAATTAATAAAAAATTTAATAATTGTTAAGTAATTCAAGAGTTCAACGAAATATTTGACTACTTTTATTCTATATTTATAATTATTTGAGTTGAGATTTTTTATTTCCTATTTTTCCCGCCTTACAGTTGCGTCCTGCACTGTTTATCGAATGTGACAAATGCCATTCAAGGCTGGAACCAAAAGGCTTGGCTATATTGGCAGCCTGGCGGCTAAAAGGCGCAAAAACAAAACGAAACCTTAACGCTCTTAAAAGTTTTCGGGCCTTATAATTAAATGCAATTATTGCGACGCCAGCGGGCTGCTTAGCCTCAGTTAAGTTCAGTTCAGTTCGGAAACAAAGGAGCAGAACAACAGCGAAACAACTGGAAAACATATGTAAGCTGAAAGCTGAAAACTGAAACCGAAACCGAAACTTTGTTGCAGGCTAAAATACATAAATTAAAAATTTGCATTGTTCTGTTTGCGAGAGGAGTCAGAGGCAGAGGCACAGACACTGAATTTTTGCAGTGTTTTGCGCTGCAAGAATAACGACTTGTTGACTGTTTTCATACGATTCGGGAGATTTAATTAAAGGCGGCCCCAAAGCAGACAATGAGGTCTTTTGGCTGCAGGTGCAGAGCGGCATCTCAACTCAACTCGGCTCGAACCCCGAGACTCGTTCGTCGTATGCAAAGGCAGAACTTGACCCTCACCGGTGGACGGAGGAGCACTGGAAATCAATACAATTGCCACCCAAAGAGTCAGAGTCCGAGATTTCAATGGTCAGCCCGGGGGCCCAGTTGGATTCGAGTGAACAATTGAATTGCATTTCAAGCAGCCAAAGCTAAGGACATTTGAAGTTGATGGGCAGCCGCATCCTGTGAGAGAGCGAAGAGACAGGCCCATAAGTCAGCTGAGTGCCACATAAATTTTAATTTGTTGCATATTTTGTCAACGGCAAAGAAATCCTGAGCTCCAGCTGTGAATTTCTTGGGAATTCCCTACGTCAGCGGGGAATAGCGGGGATAATAATGGTTTATTTATGTTAATGTTATGCAATCAAAACGCATACGATTTAAATGCCAATAAAAAATCAACGCCAAGCCGAGACTCGAGAGCCGAGAGCCGAGAGACGAAAGACGACGACGGACGAGAGCCAGCGTTTAACAGTTTGTTTTGGGCCTGTTGTTATGGTTGTTGCCTGCCTTTTTACGCATCTTTAATAGACCAATTTTTCGTGTGGTTACCTCTGCCCTGGCTCTTTCGCGTTCGCTGCCTGAGTCTTTCGTTTGCTGGCGCCACAGAAAGCGATGAAGAAGAAGAACCAACGAACGAACGAACAAGCGTCCGAACGAAGGTTACATTTATTTTCATAGTTTGTTGATGATCCAGCTCGATAAAGCGTGGCCCCTAACCCACACACACTCTCTTGGTGGCTGCTGTCTGATTATGTTTTTAGTGCGCTAAGTGATAATGATGATGCACCTCGATCGTTATCGGGCCAGCATCCAAATCGAAAGCATTTTTCCCATACCCATATACAGCCTCCAATCAAGAGAGAAGCGAAGAGTCTCTGGTTCCCGGAATCGTATTATGACATTTGAGAACTTTCACGCTGCTTTTTATGGCCTTTGGCGACAGATACGTGGCCCGGGATTGATGCTCATGTGCATCGATTTCCCAGGAAATCCCCAGCAAGCCAACCCCGCCCCAATACAGTTGCTGAATTTATTAGTTAATTTGATCGAATGTGTGGATGTTTAGCCCAGCGGGTCGTATATAGTAAATCTATATGTATTATCCAGTATTTGCTTACCAGTCTTCGCTTTGGCTTGATCAGGGGTCGGTTCTGGCCGTTCATCTTGTAGTACAGGCCACAGGCATTGCATAGATAGTGTCCCGTTCCGTCGCGTCGCCACAGTGGCGTCGATGTGGCACCACAATTAACACACTCGCGTCCCTCTGCAAGTAATATTAAAAATTATAATTAAAATATTAAGTGTTTTTAGATATGTGGCAGGTACTTAGAAATGAAGAATTTAGAAGAGATTTTAAAAGTTTAAATATTTTTAATTGTGAATTTATATGTAGATATTATTTATTTTATTTTCTACAACATCTAGGATTTTCTCAAGAAGAAAACTTTGACTGCTACTCAAGTTTCCCAGTTGTTAATGACAGTTAATGACGTAGGAAATGTGACCTGTAAAAATGGCTTAAATTAGGTATTATTTCTTTCTGTGCCGCATTCTTGCCAAATGGCGTTGCCAGAAGACTTTCTTCGGAGACCGTCTTCCGCACATTTGTATGGGTTAACCTTAAGCGCGCGACAACAACATGATACAAGCGGCAGCAACAACAACAGCAGCAGCAGCAGCAATGATGCACAGCAGCAACAAAAACAGCAAAGAGCAACATTTTTCAGCTGTTTCTCAGTCATTTTGATGTCTTTTGTTTTTGTGTGTGAGTGTGAGTGTGTGTTACTGGTTGTGCTGTATTCTTTTTTTTAAGTTTTTTCCTGCCTTCTTTTTTTTTTTTTTTTTTTTGGGTTGCTGGGCAAACGCATGGAAGCGGAAATGATGGATTCGCTGGGGTCGACTGTGTCTCCCTCTCTTTCGCCGGCCATCTCCCCGTCTCTGTCGGGGCTTCGACATTGCCTTTTGCTGACTTTACACATTTTAATTAAGGCTCCGTTCTAGTGACTGCAGTTTGGCCTCTCGGCCCCCCTCCCCGCGTCTCTCCCCGCTCAGTGGCTAACTGTAAGTCAGCCTCATTTGAATAAGTTTAGTCATAATTTGTAAGCCGAGTTGATTTGACCCGGGGCAGCAGGGCGGCGGAGAGATGAAGTTGCAAATGTAACGCGTTATTAACGTTCCACATTACAGTTGCGTCTTCTGCCGGCTGTGGGTTTTCTCTTCTCTCTGGCTCCATAGAGCAGTTTGGTCTTCGGAGTACTCCCCCAACTTTTCCACAACTCATTTAATGACGCCACTAAATGGGCTTCATTATTTCGGTTTTTGTGTTCAGTCTTTGTTTTGTTTTATGCTATTTACCCAGTGCTTGTTTTGAAATTGAAATTTAGTCATAAAGTCACTCCCCCACAACCAAATGCCCCCACCCTCCCGAACAGCCCCCCATTAGCTATGCTAAAAAGAAAACCGAAAGATTTAACGCTACTTTCTGGTTGGGGCCTTTGGCGTAATTAATTAAGCCAGCCTTTTTACATGGCCACATGAGCATAACTTTTTATTGAATATTAGCCACTGGCCTAAAGGTGCGCCCCGAAAAATAAAAAAAGCAGAAACGGTTAGGTTGGTTTGGGGGGCGTTCGGATCTCATTAAGTGCGTCGCCTGCCGAAATGCCATTAGGGGAATTTCAGTTGCGTTTTGATGACAGAACTTGGCTTCACTTCACGTGATTTAGTTCACGCAGCTATTGTCACACGTGTCCTGCGGTGTCCTGTGGTGTCCTGTCTTTTCGGCAGGCATTCCAAACATTTTGTTCTTGAGCTTTCAGGGAAATTAAATAAAGCGCTCTGCGTGTTTTCCCCCATTCCCCCCCAAGAGCTACCAGCGTGTGGTCAAGTAATCTCTTTGGATTCCTTTTTTTTTCTGGCCTCCGGGCGCGTTAAATAAACAGTTCATTTGTTTTCATTTAATCGCAAATTTCCTCTGCTTTGCTTTACTATACGTACATACATTTGTTTTTTGTACTTTTTTTGTTTGGTTTTATCGCACTTTTTTAATTGCCGCCGCTGGGTGTGTTTTTCCTTTTTTTTTTCGCTCTCGGTTTCTGCGTAAAAGTGCCGCCAATCAGTGAGACAACACCCACTGAATTAAAATTGCATAAATTATGGCAACGAAGAAGTGCCAGAAAATTGTGTTTATTTCTCGAGAAATTTCAAATTGAATTTTTTATGTCCCTAGTTGCGAATTTCTCTGTGTCTGAGGGAAGATGCACAGCCATAAATTTTCACCTGCCCTAGTACTACCATACTATGTGGTAGTCATGCATATTTATGCCCCGCACATCTGTCTTCGGTTTGCACTTCCAACAGAAGCCGTTGAAAATTGAAAACTTTATGCATTTATTAGTTTGTCATAAAGCAGAACAACGGAAGGCCACCGCCGCCGAGTTAACATTTAGCATAAAAGGAGCAGGGAGCAATACAGCTCCTACTAAAAGTCTAGCTGCATATTAAGCCATAAAGTGTGGCCTGGCTATTGTTGGAGCGGAATATTCTTCTCGGTTTCGGCTTCCCGGGAAGTTGTGGGGCTGCAGCAATCCGCCATAGGAATACCCAGTCGCCAGTTAATAAATCAAAGCTGTTAATGATGTTTTTACCCTACGTGCCCACTTTTGACAACACAAAAAGGCAGTGACAATCCGGTAACCAAGGGGGGAGTTGGCCGAAACCGAGTTGGTAAGAAAAAGAAAAAAAAAAGGAGAAGGTGAGTCAAGAAGTCGGGCTGCTGCGCACGCGCACTTGGAACCTCCTTTTCTTGGGTTTTACTACTTTTTGATTCGACTTCTATTTATAGGGCTCTCGGCTCTCAGACTCTCTTTGTTTTACGGCCCTGCAGAGCATTTGTTTTATATATTTTCCCTCGCTTTTGTTTGCTGCCTTCAATTTGCCTCCACTGTTGCGGTTGTCCCACCTCTGTTCTATTTTTATTTATTTTTATTTTCATTTCCCCGAGACACGTAGCAGGTTGGCCTATGATTTAGTAGCCTGCTTATAACTGTTTCTCCCCCTCCATTTACATCATCTTCTGTGGTCCAGGTTCAGGTTCAGTTTAAGGTTGAAGTTGAGATCCAGGGCCCAATCATCTGGCTGTAATTTCCTGGAAATTTGTGCACACTTTGGTATTTCTTCTCGGCCGTTTGTTTTTTACTGTGTGACATTGTCTGGGGCCCATATAACCCAAAACCGAAACTGATGGAAAAAAAACAACAACAACTCGAACCCAAAAACGAACCCAAAACTGAAACTGAAACCGAAACTGAACCTGTTTTTAGGGCCTGATTTGGCAGCCTCTTCTGGCCTCGTCGCTGCTGCTGCTTGTCCCCGGGGTCTAAAGGTCCAACTAACTGTTGCTGCTTGATTTGACATTTGGCGTCAGTGGGCCATAATTGTCTAGAATTTATGTGTTGTACCTTTTTCTCGTTAATTTGCTGCTTGTCATGCATGTGGGCAGCCAGAGAGGGAGATCCTGAGAATCTCTCTCTCCCACCCTTCGTTTTAATTAGTTGTTTGGATTAATAAACAGATTTATGGGCTGGTTAGGATAGTTAAGAAAGAGACGATTACTGGTGAGCAAGACAAAAGACACATGGATGTGTGAGTAAATAGTTGTTGTTTCGCTTGATTGTCGAACACTTTTTAATTGTTGTAAAAATATTTCAAAAATTATAATGCTAAAGGTAAGCAAAATAAGAACAATTAAATTGAAATGAAACAGTATGAATAATTGGCACGCTCTTTTGATCGCAGAAGGGTTATAAATTGCAGGGGTTAAGGAATGGTTGGTTGCGGTTATTGGGGGGGGGACAGGGGGAGTCGATGGTGAATGCCTTAAATAAATGGCAAGCGCCTCATTTTGAGGCCACAGCTGTCACAGCGCGGACAAAGGAACAATGCCTTTAAGCCCGCTTGCCCTGGCCTTAAGCCCTGATTGAGTGAAGTGAAGAGGATGCAGGGACTCCTCTGGATTCCAGATTCCATATCCCGAATCCCGAGCTCCCCAGACGAAGGTTGCCACAATCACAAGTCGCAAGTCGCAAGTCGCGAGTCGCGTACCCATATCAATTACTTAAAGCTCATTCACAACATTTTTTATTTTCACCTGACAAAAGCCCAAATGGCATCCAATCAATTCAATGGCCTGGCTGCATTCTCGCTCGATTCTCTCGATTTTCTCAATTCTGAATTCTCCAGTCCGAGGTCTGGATTCTGCGGTGGCAACGAGCCACAAAAGCCACAACACATGTTCTTGCGCCCGAAAAACTTATCGCCAGCGATGCGATAAACGATAAATAAATACAGGCAACAAGATGCTGCCGGGACTAACGAAGGCAGACAATGTTTTTTTCCCCACTTCTCATCTCATTTCATCTCATCTCCCTGCGCTGCCTTCTGGTTAGTTAGGGAGTAAAAAAAAAAACTGTCGCCGGGCCAAGAAAATGAAATAAAATAAAATATGCCAGCGTTTTGTCAGGCGACTTCTCCCTCTTCACGTGTCTTTCTGTCTTATTTTTTTTTTTAGTAATTTTTCTCGAGCTGCTTCCTCATTTTGTGGCCACGGACGTTATACAGTCATGATTATATGGCTCATACAGGTACGAATCTCGCCTCTATTTGCATTTAGTGGGTGCAGCTGGAAAGCAAGGTGCGCTCGGTGTGTTGTAATGAAACGTAACAAACGAACAATTGCATTTGGCGGCGGTGCGAAAGGTGCAAAGCACGGCGAGTGGCTAACAATTTGCCCTTAACTGGAGGTTAGTTGCAAGTTCACAGATGTAGTTGCTGGTTGATTTTTTATAATGCTTTATAGATCTTTTATGGTATTCCTGGGATAGAAGATGGGAAAGTTGCCTTGTGACTATTTTGTAACTTTTGTATAAATTTGTAACTTCAGATTAGGAGACCCTCTCTGTTTAAGCTCTTTTTTCTGACTTCTAGAACATTTTAAACTTAAGTTATTGCCTCAAACTTATATTAAGTTCCTGTTAATCTAGCTGTTGGCTAATATTTCCCCTAACAGAAGGCAGACCAAAACTAACAGTTAGTGGCTAATATTGCTACTACTAAAGCCAATATAGCTGCTGTGACTAATGTGGCTGTTATGCCTTCTGCCAGCTGGTTTTCTTGGCTGGTTTACTTCTGGTTTTTGGGGGTTGGCTGTTTGGCTGTTAACTGTTGGCAGCAGAGCGACCCTCACGCATGGCCCGAGTGGCGGCTATAAAGATGTCGTTGTTGCTGCTGTCGCTGATGTTGCTGTTGTTGCTGCTTGTTTTTTCTGCTGCTGCTGCGGCTGCCAGGCCATGCAAAAACGCAACGCTAAAGCAGGTGCAGCAGGCTGCAACTTCCGCAGCGAATGAATGTGTGTGCTTGTTTGTGTGGTGGGTCTTTGGTCTTTGCAAACAGCAGCAGCAGCAGCAACATGAAGTAATTAACAACCACAACAGCAACAACAACAACGTCAACAAGAAGCGTTGACAATAGCATTGAAGTTGCTGCCGCAAATGCAGCTATTGTTGTTGCCGTTGTTGTCATTGTTATGTGGTGATTTCATGGCGTATACGCAACGTTGGCGGAGCGGAGCAGGGAGGGGCCTGTGCCTGCAAGGGCTTCTCTTCTGCCCTGGGATCTTTCTGCATATTTTTACGCGGGCAGGAAACATGCTCAAGTGGCGGGAATGTGGCCAGCATGCTGCTCCCGAGCACATGTCAAGTGCCGGAGCTTCGGTTGCGGGGAAAAGTGCAGGAGTTAAGTGATGGAAGTTCGGTCGCGGATTCGGACTTCAACTCGAACTCTCGGGCTTCCCACGTGAGCGTGTGAAAGAGCAGTGGCAATCAAAGTAAGCGAGGGCAAGTGGGGGTTGGTTGGATGGGTTGGCTTTCAAAATGATAACTACAAACTAAAGTGAAAACTAAACAATAAGTGGTTCACTTCGAGACTGTTTACAAGGGGTTATCTATGGTTTATCCACAAGTTAAACGAATGGATTTTATTTTAATAAATTTGTGATACAATAAGAAAAGTGTTAATAGAGATTTTAAAATTAAAATTGTTTAAAATTTAAATTTTAGTCACTTGTAAACAGTCGCATTGCACACAACACTGAGATAAACATAATTGAATGGTAAAACAATCGACGGCCATCGATAACGAGTAACAATGATTATTCACCCACACCGAGATCGCATAATGTCTAGAGGCTTTTGTCTTGCTTACCAGCACTCGTCCGCGGTTTCGTCCGCACGGGCTTGATGTCCAGGCCGGAATTGCCGTTGCCCGCCGATCCGCCGCCGTGTCCGCTCAGGGATCCGGATCCCGCTCCTCCGCCGTTGCCACCACCGCTGCCGCCACTCATACTACCCATGCCGGTCACAGAGCCACCAAGCGAATGCATGCCCGCCCCGGAGGACGATCCACTGTGGTGGTGTCCACTATGATGGTGATGGTGATGGTGGTGAGCCTGCGCCGCAGCCATGCTGTGACGCACTGCGGCAGCGGCCACCGAGGAACTTTGGAACATATTCGCCGCCGCTACGGCTGCCGCCTGATGATGGGCGGCTGCCTGGTGATAGGAGGCATAGCTACTGCTGTCATAGCCGCCGCTCCCGCTGCCTCCGCTGCTCCCGCCACCGTTGTTGCTCTGGGAGGCATAGTGCGCCTGGGCCGTGCCCTCAAACAAACCGTTCGAGGACGTGGCTGCGGCGGCTGCAGAGGCGGACAGGGAGGCGGCGGCAGCTGCTGCTGCTGCTGCGGCGGCGGATGAGGCGGAGGAGTTACTGCTGGCGTTGTTGTTACTGTTGCTGCTGCCCTGCTGCTGCTGCTGTTGCTGCGATTGCTGCTGCGACTGTTGCTGCTGCTGCTGGCTGCTACTGGAGTTGGAGCTGGGATTAGTGGTAGTACCTTCGCGCTGCTTGGGCGCCGAACTCTGGCTGGGTCCGCTGCCGGAGGAGCCGTTCGCGCTGCCGTTCTGGATCGACGGCTTAATGTCCAGCGCACAGCTGGCGTCCGTCAGTGAGGTAGAGCCCGTGGCCTGCTGGTGCATGAATGCGTTCATCACGGCCTGTGTAGAAATCGGGGATAGTAAAATTATTTTTTTAGTTAATGTTTTAGATATTCGGAAGCCTAGCCCAAATATTTTAAAGGTTTCCCCTTACCCCATAGTATTTGCTTAAAAATTTAATAGAAATAATCGAGAGCTCCCTTCGATTTCGATGCTAACTCTTACCTGATACTCCGATGGACCGGTTTGCACGGAATCGGGCGTGGAGTCCTTTGGCGGCGTCGGCGGGAAGGGGAACGAATGCTGGCCGGCGGCCGTCGTCTGATGGCCCTGGCCCATCTGGCCCAGCTTGTGCTCCACCTGCGGCTCCTGCGGGCAGGCAAACTGGCCCATGCTCCAGGCGCTGGCGGGGGCGAAGGACTTGTGCTCGCTGGTCAGCCATGGACTCAGCGGGGTGTGGAAGTGCGGCCGGCACACCTGGGGCGTGGCATGGGTGGAGGGCATGCGGGATGCTGCAAAAGATAACGCAGGCAGGGGGGGATTAAAAATCAAGTTAAATGCTGCATTAAATCAATTATGGCCCGAATTTATAACGAAGATTAACCGACTAAGCCGCGACCAGAAGCGATCAAAATTCGTAATAAATGACGCACCGTCTCTTCGGCCGTTCCTACTCTTATTTTCCTCTGTGGCTGCCGCGCAAATTTGCGGAAAAGCTGCGTTATAATTTATGAAACACCAGCGAGAGAAAGAGCCGCCTCAGAATGGCCTTCGGGCCAACTTTGCATATGGCAAGACACCATAGAGACCACAGAGTCCACAAAGGCCGGTGAGGTGGCAAGCGGGCGGGGGGGACTTCTGCATTGTCATAAATTGTTTAATTTGTATCATAAACAATCGCGTTAAACTTTTGTCCCAGAGCTAAAAAGATCGATCAACGGCTCGGGCCGGCTCACCTCGGCTTTTGGCCCGGCTAAAAGTGTAGCCTAAATGTCTGGCAGTGTATAATTTAGCAGACACCAAGTGAGATTTATGTGCGCCAATGCTGCCGGTTACTCCATCGATCCCAGTTCGACTCCCAGTCCCAGTCCCAGTCTCAGTCTCGGTCCAAGTCCGAGTCCAAGCCGATCCGATCCTATCCCATCCAGCGATCGAGGGATCCGACAGATCCCCATATCCTCGCAGGAGGGGCATTATCGAGGGGGCACGTTGCAATTGTTTGGGGCGCACTTATTCTTATTATTATCATTAATATCGGCTGCAGCTCCCCAAAGAGTCGCGAGTCGCTGGCCCTCGGGGCTTGTTTGTATGTGAAATTATTTTTGATTATGCAGCAGCAGCAGCGGCAGTATCTGCAGGAGCAACCTCAGCAGGAGAAACAGCAGTCGGAGCTGGTTGGCCAACAGTAGGTCAGTTCATTGCTCGCCAAGATGGATTAGGCCAAATCAAGACAAGAGTCAAAAAGGCAGAGCGTAAAGGAAAGCTGGCAAGTGAGTTTGCTAGCAGAGTTCTAAATACTCTTTAGGGGTAAATTAAATTACTTTTTGGAGTTGGAATTAAAGTTTATAAGGAGAATCTTCGTATAAGTTAACCTATTCATTATCTATTTTATTTGTATAGCTTCTTTTGGTGATTAAAGTGAAGGTTTTGAATTAATTTAAATAAATCTATTACTAAATATTATTGAAAGCAAAAAGTGGTAAACTCTAATGTTAGAGATTTTCAAAGTTCATAAAGAGTATTCCCTATTCACTATAAGCAAACACAAAACAACCTGATCGATGGGATGGCTCGAACGCTGGTTTTGGCCGGATCGCTGTCTGCGATAATACCCATTTGATTATCCTAATAACAGTGCTTTAGTGGCGATATTATATGTACGTGTGCCTGATTATAGAAATTAGCTGCTGCCGCCGCAGCATCACATCAGAAGCAGAAACGTCAGAACCCGGCAACCTGCAACTTGCAACTCGCCGAGACTTTTCCCAGTGCCGATGCCTCAATCAAATGTGCTTATTGCTTTTCCCGATCTGCTGTGCAGACTTCACACTTTTGCGCCAACGACAAGTCAAATAAAATCGGAGAGAGAGCAAAGTACCCTCCAATCGAAGCCGTTGAAACGATCCCCCATATGAAGTCGTCATCGTGCGGGTATATAATTTAGCAAGATCGAGGGAAATAATACCATTGGTCATGCTAAATTATATGGCCAGGCTGTTGCATCTTTCGGCCCGTTGCCAAATCAATGTCCGATGCGTTCTTTAATTGGCATGGCGAAACTTTCAATTTACCAGCCGATGGTGTTGGCGATAGCTCGGCGGGCTGTTAATGTTAATCCCGGTGAGTATGACTCACTTTTACCTGTTTATTTTTTGTGTGTGTTTTTTTTTACGCTGAGGCTGTTCGCCGCTCGTATAAAACAATTCGCTAATAAATCAAGCTGAAGCTGAGTACACGGCAATTAAAGTTGCAAACTTGAAACAAAAAGAACGACATTTTTTGCTGTATATGCAAAGCTCGTGCTGGTGGAAAACGCTGCCCTTGGTCGTCTCCAGGCCAAAAAAAAAGCCAGCCTGACACGTTCTACACAGCAACAACAAAAGCGGTAAAGTAACAACAAAAAACGTATAAATAAAATAAGTACAGAAACAAGAAAAGAAGTTAAGTGTGGCAAACAAAGAATTGATTGTACTCGTTCTTATATTAAAATTTAAAAAAGTACTATAGTTAGAGATTCTTTTTCACAGGATGGAAAGATTTAGGATCATAAATAAATAGTAGTAGTAAAGAAAGTCTCCTCTTTAAATAACTTAAAAATGTATAAATACAATTCCAAGTACTGTCTCTTAAAGAGTATACAAATCCAGCAAAGAAAGAAAACATTTTTGAAGTTTTTGGCCTGCGCTTGATTTCTTCAAACTGACAGATCAAAGCCAGGAAAGCCGCCGTTCTCTCTTTCTCCTTCTCTCTACCGGCTGGGACATTTTAAAAGCGTTTGACAGCGCTCAACGCTCTCAGCGCCTGTCCATCCGAAAGCCGGGCTAAGGCAAATCCAAAAACCTGGCTTAAAGCGCCTTTTAATTGCAATCGAAGCTGACGCTTGACGACGACGTGAATGACATAATTAATGTGTATGTACGTAGGCAGGTTCGTATGCACTTAGCCGGACGTGTTGGACATTTGAAGATGACAGAAAAACCAGATGAAATGGCTTCAATTAGTGAAATGCATCAGCTGCCCGGAAAAGTTATCATTTCGGCCATCTCGTCAGCATCATTTGAATGTGAAAGGCCAGGGGACAACAAAGGACGAGCGGAGCAGGGTGGCAGATCTCCTCAAAGCACAACTCGATAAGGAGGACAAAAAAGGATTGCCAGCTCTCTGGTAAATTAAATTCACACCAACCGAGCTGCCGGATTAGGGGTGCCAAATGCTGGGCGTTATCAATCGAGGGAAATCAAATCCGCAAACGAGCGACTCTCGGTCTCGCTCTCTCTCTATCTCTGGGGTATTTTCCAAGGAACTTATGTGAGATGTCAGTGGCAGTCGATTAGTGGATTCAGCTGCTTCCTGCCCTCTAGCGGAGGCCAGCAATCAATCATGCGAACGGCCAGAAAAGACCAAGCCAGGCCAGGACGAGGGAATCCTGCTGCAGCTTGACTTGACCCTGTCTGCAGGCGGTGGCTTAATTTATAGCCAGAGCTACCCTCAAGGAACAAGGACCTGGGACTTTTCACCTGCTCAACGGGTGACGGTATCGACTCCAGGTTGCCGTTGTAGGCGCGTGGCTCCAAAATGCGGTCAAGTGTTGTCTCTCTGTGCCGCTGTTACACCTGCTCCAAAATTGGAAATTGTTTAAGCATGCAGCAGCGGTGGCAGCAGAAGCAGCAACACAGGCAGCCAGCAACGAGCCATAAACTATAACGGATTCCAGTTTTAGCCACCACCACCACCACCGCCAGCTCGAGATCGAGCGCTCAGCAGGTAGGTCAGTTTCGGCTGCTCCAAGACACCTTGATAGTTAATAGTGGCACACGGAAAAATATTTCATATTTACATCCTTAAAATGGGTATGACAAGTAGGATAATCTAGGAGATATTGGAAAATAATTCCTGAATAATATACTAAATTAAATGTAACATGAAATCTTAATGCAACAAAGTGTATTAAATTTCTCCCAGTGCTTCTTAAACTACTTGCTTTTTTTTCGGTGCACAAGTAGCAGTAGCTGAAACTTAAGCTGAAACTTGGGTCTCCCAACTGCTTAGCATTTTGCGCGCTTGTTTGTTTTAATTATTTCTTTGCTTTCTGCAGTTGCGTGACTCCGACTGACTGACGGACCGAGTGACTGCTGGATGGCTGGATGGCTGGATGGCCGGATGACTTGGTGACTGGATGGCTGGATGACTGCCCGAAGGACTGGCTGACTGCCTGACTGGCTGACTGACTGACGGACTGGCCGAGTGAGTGACTGACAGAGGCAGGCTGCATTATTAAGCGCAAACTGCGCTGCCTCCGCCATCTATATTATTAACACTTTATTTGCAGCGTTGCATGCCAGCTTATCATTAGTCATAAGTTGTCAATTGTATTTATGATAATGCGTTTAATAACTCAAGTAGCTGGCCTGGCTTGTAAGTTATGCCGTTGCACTACGCACTGCCCTGGAAAATGCTCTCATTTATTTATTTCTTGTTGTCTTTTGTGGAATTATGGAATCGAGGAATTCTCTGGGTTATTAATTGCTTTATAATTGACGCAGAGCGTCCCGCCGCGATGAGACGGGAATTTCGCTCCAAAAACAATACTGGTTTGCGGCCAAAACGTGTGAATTACGTGGCCTGGCCCAGCTTTTGCATACGAGCCACAATGTTGTGGCCGCAATAAAAAAAGAAAAACAAAATGTTAAGGAAAAGCTGGTTGACAACAACAAGCTGCTACAGTTGGGAGTTGGTCTACGGCTGCGGCTTCGACTGGGACTGGGGCTGGGTTTCTCTGAAATGCGCCATTTTTGTGGCCATTTGCAACATTTGCAACGCCGGTGGTGGGTGAACAGAAAAAAAAAATGCAGAAATAAAATAAAGAAATGCTAATAATGCGGCTGCAAGTTGGCACAAAAAGGCGCGTGCATTGAACTGGAATCCTGGCCACGCAATGCCAACTTATGCAAATGCTAAGCCGCACTGTCACTCAGCCAGTCAGTCAGTCAAAAGGACTGTGTTGGCCTGACAGTTGGTTGGGAAGTTGTTTTTCTACTAAGGGCCCGGACCACCAGCGCGGCTAATGAGCGGACACCACGCCCGAAAAGGATGCGCGAATCCTGTTCAGAAATGCCTGCGGGCGCACTTATGACAGTTCGAAGCGTCAGCGAAATCATTAAAATTGACAAGTTTTTATATGGCAAAACCAAATTTGGTCACTCAAAGGCAGCGTTTGAAGTGATCGCGCGAAGATCCGCTGACAAGTTGCTGTTGTTCGCGGGATCGGCATCGGAAATCGGGATGTTGCCGC